AACWGRTTTCAGATTCGACTAAGATTTCACTAAARGCTTAWGTATTTACAAATATTTACATTTATATTAGATTTTATAAAAATACGATTTTATAGATTCGATTATACCAAAAAGCATCACATTTCTCRTAAGCTCTYTTAACGAATAAAATACACTTGCGTTATATTGTGTTAAATAGAAAAGCATTTCTTCCATAATCAAAATATTTAATTTAGRYATMATTCTATAAGTTTTATTAATATCGGATTAATTCTAAAAATACCATATGTAAGTTGYATAAATAGCAARTCACAATAAATGAAASMTTTCAGWAGGACAAGAAGCCCAAAAGTGCATCGAGRATACAGATTSCAATATTCATGTATTTACCTTTTAYCTAWTAAAATSAATCAACTTACATTTTCAATTTTATTTTTTGTTTATTGGGTTTTAATCTTTCAGACCATTAAAAATTATGCTACAATAGCCAATTTACTTCTTACATTTTTCGATTAATTCTATTTTGGTGCTRGGCTTTTGATTGATAAGATATGAATATTGAATTYGAATTAAAAACCTTTAAACGYGATGAAGTGAATARGAMATTTTTAATACCATTAACTSAAATTATTGTGCGTAAATCAGAAAATTGAGAAAACGGCCGACGCGGTAAGAAAACCAATTCCCGCATTTACTTCGCCTGACTCCCAATCCGAGACAAGTAATCTCTGGAGATCCCGTGATGTTTTTTATTTGAGGCTTCAATCCGTAAATTGCTGAAAGTATTTATGAGCTTTCTTGAAATTACCGGCGCTTCATATGATATACATGCTTTAGTGTTACATAAAACAATCTCCAGTTATAAATATCTGAATAACACATGAAAAATTTAGTTTCATATTTTGAAATAAAGCTTTTATATAAGGTGGAAATTGAATTAAACGAATTTAAGTTCATATATATATATACAGGGTTGCTCATTAGTGCGTCAAAGTGCGATATTTCAGTAAATATGAACTTTACAAGAAAATACGTCCTACGAAAGTTTTTCATGTTTAAAAGGTCCACATTTTTAAAAATTTTAAAGCTAGTTTGGGTAAAGTGTGGTACTCTTAAAACTTAGAAAACCGTTACTAAGTTATTCAGCAAAATCTATAAAATCGTCGTCAACATATCCACTATC